ATCACTGCATATATTATTAGACGCTTGAGATTGCTCAAAAACCTCTTTACCCACATCATAGATCATGTCCTCCAACCAATCAACCATATTATTATCATCATCAATAACAACATTAGCATCCCGTGATTGAGATGTACTTGGCATTGTATTCAATCTTTCACCATGACATGTCCATACTTTATAACTTTTGAGAAACTCCTTACAAAGTAAGTATTTGCATATCTTATCTACACTCAGTGCCTCTCATTCAAATAGTTTTTATAAGGACAATAAAACTTTTCACTATCATCTTCAGCATTGCTTCAAGCAAATTTCAAAAACCCCTTAACCCCATTAACATACTTTAAGCTAGTTCATTTGGCATCTATCCAACTATAATTTATATTTAATTTGTCTTCCTAAAACATGACAAAATTCATAGATTATTACTAAATCATTAGGATAAGGCGAAATGATGAGTTATATATTAAAAAAATAAGAAAAAAGCATGCTAACATAATAATTTTTAATTTAATTTGGAAATTTCTAATTTTTTTGAGAATGTTTTTAAAAGTTAGCTTCCCTTTTGTCTAATAAGTAGGGGGAAGTTGATTTTATATTTTTTTTGGCCTTTTTCATATAGAAGAAGGGAAAAACAATAATTTTGAAAAAATTTTTAGCAGAGTCTCCTTTAAAAGTTAGACTTTTCAGTAAATTTACAATTAAAAATATAAGAAAAATATAATATTATTTAAATAAAATAAAGTCACATACAATGCCTAATGGCCTTGGGCCTCTATTGGCACTCCACCAGCGTGCAAAAAATAAATTAATAATGATGTCACAATAATTTAATTCATAAGAAATAAACTAGCCTAATAAAATTTATATAGGCACAACCCATTTTCTTGTAGTAATTTTTTACAATTTTCAAGTATCTAGATATGACTTTTAAAATGATATTATATCTTATAAATTATCAACCATATAACTTTTAAAAATCCAAACTTCACTTAGGATCTCAATAACTTTTTAAATAAATTCCTTCACAAAAACTCAAGTTTAGATTTATAAATAAATAATACCTAAGCTAGTTCATGCTTCTTGTGGAATTAATAGAGTTACCGGTGCATAATCAAGCAAACCTTCCTAATAAGCATTTTATCAAATACCTTGCAAACATGAATTTTCAAATTTTAATACTGGCCTCTTCTCTTCAACTTTCATCCAATAATTTCTCCCAAACAATTCTTAAATGCTAATGCTTGAATAAATTAATCTTGCTTATACCTCTACCATCCACACATTCGCATAGCATAAAGAAATGGAAAGGAAGAATTGGTTTCATAACAATTAATTCTCATCCACCTGCACAAATTCAGTAAAGACAGGAAAATTTCACAACTTCAACCATTAAAATATCTACGCATAGATTTTACTAGCATAAGAGCTTGAAGCCCTCAAACTTAAATTAGCAATGACAAAGGAGGAAAAGAGAAAGAAGTCATCAATGGAGCAAAAGGAGGATCGTACATAACAAAGACAACAACTATAATGACACAGGGACAAAGGAGGAACGAGGAGGAAGATTCCCACTGCTCACAGCACCAACAACGAATGAATGGGTTAAACCACAAGCAAACACTATTGAACTCTGATGGATAAGCATGCGATAAACAGAGAGGGTGTTGTGAGAAGGAGACGGGCAAGAGTGAGGCCGTAATGTTATTGCCGACATTACCAAACACATAGAACATAAGACATGAATATCATTATGATAATTAGGACTAATTAAATTTCTCATGTGTAGTTATCATAGCAAGGCTTTGAAAGAAATTTAAGAAAAAGGGATCCTAAAAATCCTCTTTTTAAAAAACGTTTGAGTTCAAAGTAGAGTTGGGAATATGGACGGGCCCGACCCTTAAGGGCCTGAGCTTTAAAACCTGATTTTTTATTTTAAACTATTTCTCAAGCTCGGCCCTTATGTGAAGGGTTCAGGGCTTGGCCCTCAAGCCCTTTTTCAAAAAAATAAAAAAATAAAAATAAAAATACAATATTATAAATTAATTAAAATATTTTGAAATTTAAAAAATAAAATTCTCATAATTTTTTAAAAATTAAACAACACACATTTAGAAGTCTAGTAATAAAATTTAAATCTTGGTTAAAAAACAATTCATTTTTTATAAATACACAAACATAATAATTTTAGAAAAATAAAAAATATCAAGAATTTTATACTATACACTGATATTTATTAAATTATATTAAATTAATTTTAGAATAAATTAAAATTAATAATAATATAATACGTGTAGAATTAGGTGAGTAGGTCATTGGTTTCAAATACATGTTTCACCAAACAAAATATAATAATAATAACAACAACAACAACAACAACAACAACAACAACAACAACAACAACAACAACAACAACATAACAAGGCTTGAAGGGCTACCCGAGCCCAAGCTCAAGCCCTTATTTACAGGGCTTATCAGAGCTAAACCCTCAAGCCTGATTACTTTAAAAAAATTATTTTTAAAGCTCGAACCCTTATTTAAACAGGGCTTTCAAGCCCGGCGCTTCAGGCCCAGCTCTTATTCCCGGCTCTAGCTCAAAGCATGGTTAAAAATAAAATATAAGAAATAACAAAAGTAAGAAAAATAAATAACATCTCAAAACAAGTATAGAAAGAGGAAATTTAATCTCCCCTATAGTTGCTCCATCTGTCGAGGGGCATGTCCTATTTATCACATAAAATAAATGAGGTTGAGAGGCTTTATAATAAGAATACAAAAAATTCTGAGCCTTTGGAGCTTTTTTCCTTTCTGCACTCGAACTAGAACTTGAAAAATATTGAAAGAGAGGGATGAGTACAACCATTCAATAACCAAGGTACATCTATCATATACAGTTGCATATTAATTGACAAAATCATATGAATGGGAGTTGAATACTCAATTTCATATATTCATACATACCATATATTACAATTACACCATTATCTTATTCTTAATTTTTCATAATTCCCTTCACAAGACACAGTATCACAATACAGACAATTATGTGAAACAGTCAAAATAACAATAATGGTGCATGTTGCTATAGTAATAATAGCCATGTGACAACAACACATACACAACTACCACAACTTGTCACAAATTTATCAACCATGTGACATGTCGAATAAAAATATGCATAATCGAAACCTCCTTATATTGTCCTTATTTCTTCCAACTAAAATCATGAGCTATAATATCAATAAGGGCCCAGTCTGCATGATTGAACTATTCCAACTCACTAATTGTGAGAAGTGACTTAGCTAAAGATCACAATACTTACTCTTAAACTATGGCTTTCCCCATTCTTAAATCCCTAGAATATCGTGAACATTAAGCTAGTCTCCTTAATAAACATGTGAAGATAGCTGGGTTTAAATCTTTTAACAAACTATAGGACAATTTCTCAATAAACAGTGAGATAAGGCTAGTCTTTGTGCATTGAAAGGCAACCTTATAATACCATATGAATTTTATCTACTTCTCCCCTTAGGCAAACTTCTGTCAAATGATCATGCAATGTCTTATGCTCACGCACACAATTACACATGTTTGTAATTCATGCTAGCAAACTTGAGAGATTTATTATTTTGCTAAGTGATTACAAATGAGGGGTGAAGGGGTATTTATAGACTCCCCTTTCTTCCTAAAAGTTCCCACCTTCTTAATGGACGGTTGGGATTAATTCAATCTAACAGTGTATATTCTATCTATAGATTTCTAGAATGTATAAGAAGAAGATATCCCTATAATAATTTAGATACTTCAAACACTCTCCATACTATTCTAGAGATATTTAGGTCTTTCGAGATTATATTGGCTATTCTAAAAGTTTTTAATGCCTTCTTAATTGTTCTGGATCTCTGCAGTCTCATTTGGATTGCTTCAAAAACTTTTAAAATATTTTAACCTCATAGAAATTTATGACTTTGTTACACATTAGCCTAGTACACTAGGCAGATCTCGGCCAATGACTAGCTAAACACCTCTAATTAATATAAATGTAATTGTATTTTTTTTTAACATGAAAAATGTAACTGTAGTTATTCCTTCACGGGTAAGTAATAAGTTTCTACTAAGCATGTCCCCAAGAGACCAGATCATGAATGAGAAAAATTATAAAAACTGAATTAATGCAGGTAAAATTCAAAGTTCAAAACATTTCAAGTTTTTTTTTTTTTTTTGCCAACAAAAAGATTTCAAGGAAAGATGTATGAATTGAGTTAGCAGACCTGTATAGCCACTCGTCGTGATTCACTGCTATCTTATTGCAGATCTTCACTCGTTGATTGGATAATTAATGTATTTAACTCAGTGAATCAGAGTCCAGAATGATTTTTTATTTGAGTATTTTTAAAAAATTGCATTTTGGTATTTGATTATCTGACACGGGTAACGCTTGTCATGAGCAAAGATCTTTATTATTTATTTATTCCTTTTTTCAAATATAAAGGTAAGGGCATTAGCCTATGAAAAATTAGCAAGGTTCAAATAAAAAGAGTAAGTTTTTACCATATTTGAGTAGGCTCTTTCAAAAAAATGACACATACTCGCCACGCTCACACATAAGGCATAGAACCAGAATCGTCTTCTAAAGAGGCGTGGAGTTGCGTTAAATAAAAAACTCTTGAATGAAAAACAATTTCTGTGGAGAGAAACATTCATAAATTAATAAATTTCGTAAATGCCTTGCATGGCGCGCGAAGGCGTTCGCTTCGTTCCAATAAACCATTAAGTGTATCATGCTTCTAATCTTTTTGCGCGATGTTCTTTTTGACCATTGCCAGTGGAAATATTTAAAAGAAAATAACTGCCGATTTGGTTTCTCTTCGTTCCCGTGAGCCGCGCATTAGGTGGTAAGTTCCATAGATTTTAATTACTAAGATAAATGTGGCTTTTTCCTTCATTTCCTTTCGATCTTGATGTTTCTGTGGGTATCCTCTTTTTGTTTTCTTCTGCTCTTTCGATAAATGCTGGAGTCAAGTGCGTGACTTTAGTGGGTTGCAACTTGCACATTAAGCTCCTAAAAAAAAGATTACTGGTCACTACACGAAGCTCATCAGGAATCTTAAGGGTGCTCTGCTTTCTGTCGTCCAGTTTTGCGAGGGCGTCCTCGCTCATCCTCCATTCCCCATCCTCTGGTTTGAACTGAATAGCTGTTTGAAGAGGATGGGCTGTGCGACCTCAAAGAAGCTGAGCACAGAAGACGACGTCGTGTCCTTCTGCGGAGAAAGGAAATGCCTCGTCAAATTGGCCCTAGTGCGCAGGTATGCATTTGCAGAGGCATACTCAAAGTATAATCAATCTCTCTATTCCATGGCATTGGCCTTAAGGTTGTTCGTGGCCAGACATTCCTCGCCATCTTCTCCGTTTCTCATCACCTACCCTTCCAATCTTACCTCTGGAACTGCAACTCTCATTGACAGTCCTGTGTTTCTTCAACATAAACCATCTGAGCCCCGCCACGAAGGAACCCCAGAAGGCAAAGAATCTGAAGATAGAAGAAACTGCGATGAAAAAGATGAAGAGGTCAGTAACGAAGAGGAACCCTTGTGCGAGCATTTTTATGGTGATGTGGGTGCACCCTCGGCATCCCCAAGGAGAAGTTATCAGTGGGATTTTTTCAACCTGTTTGATGTAAGAGGGTTAACTCAGAACACTGATGAAGGTAGTGAAAGAATGGGACGTGGAAAAGGAGTTATGGATGAGATTAAGGCTACCAGAAACAGGGATGATGCCAAACTGGAAGCACGTGAGAGCGAAAATTTGAGGCAGATTAATAGAGAAATAGATGGGTGGGAACTGTTGGAAGCATTGAAGGATGTAGAGGACCATTTTATGAAAGCTCACAACTCTGGTAAGGTTGTCTCAAGGATGCTTGAGGCTAATAGAGTCCCTTTGCTATCTGGCCTGGACGATATCAAAGGTGAGTTATAATTATATTCTTTCTAGCTCTTCCATCTTGTCTTTTCTTGTGAAATTATCGTAGGTGTTCTGCATTGCATGATCGGGCTGATTAAATAGCCATGAAAAGGGAAAGCAATCAACTTTTCTCTTAGCCTCCTGTAAATTTTTGTATAGTAAAATTTCTCCTCATATAATTGTTTATTTATTTTAAAAAAATTAAACACTCTTTAATTTTAAATAAAAATGTATTTTCCTCACTAATTTGATCACGCCCTGGTAAGGTTGACCAACATTACATATATGTCTATTGCCAATATGAGAAGTTTATTTTTGACCAGCCAATATGAGAAGTTTATGAAAATATTAGTTTCGCAATTGATGCAGAGGGCTCCAGGAAACTGATTCGGTCAATAACATGGAACCGATCCAATTCATTGCATTCTTCCTCCAGTAAGAGTCTGCTGATTTCAAGTTGGCGAAGTTCTTCCTCATCGACAGAACTTGGTGTTGATTCGTGTGATGAATGTGGAGGAATGGGATCTGGCAGCCACGCATCCACAATAGAAAGATTGTATGCTTGGGAGAAGAAACTTTATGAGGAGGTTAAGGTACGTAGAATATGTAAAGATTGGAATTGGAATTTTTATTCTCTTCAATATTCTCTTTGCAAATCCTCTCTTCCCCACTAATCGTGTGTGGATGACTAATATCAGCAGCAAATAATAAAAGTGCAGCCTTGGTTGTTTGGTGTCTCCGTGTAGATGTGACTCCCTCCAATCCTATGAACCTTTTTCAACACTTCGCTTTGGTTCCTATATATAAGAACCCCATCCATTTTGGATACTACATTAATTTTTTCCTCCAAAATAACCCTTAGGTTTGATTTTTTCTAGTATATAGAAGTAAAGGATTACCGTTAATGCTTTTATTCAAGTCTTTCTCTCTCCGAGGGGTTATTAGTTAAGATATCCCATTAAATGCTAGAAGCAGTGGAAGAATAGCACATGAAATTGACACATTATGATACATAACTAATTTTTGTAACTTGTGATATGGTTAAAAGGGTCCTGTATATAGGACCGGAGGGAGTTGTAGTATTAATTTGTCAACAGTTAGGCATGGTTTCTGTAGAAATATATCTATGTACTGGTCGTTCTCCACTATGGTTGCAGGCCAGAAGGATTTTATGCATATTCCACCTAAGGAAAGCTGAGTGGTGTTTTGGAAATGAATCAAACCATATGTAACTATGGACGGAAATGTTTAATCAAATTAGACTGTAAATGTAAACTGCGAGTGTAAAGAGTTATCTGAATTAGCAAAAGTGTGGTAGCCATTAACTTCATTTTGAATGAAATATAATTTCTGCTTCTTAAAGGAAAATAACTTGTTTTGAGTTTTTGAGTTTGATCCTCTTCTTGCTAAGTTCAGGCTGGAGAGGAAATCTGGAAATTATTTGAGAGGAAGCGCTCTCGATTTAGAAATAAAAAAGCTCGCAAAGATTATCTCGAACATGGGGATAAATCTACTGCTGAAGTAATAGAATTACATACCAGTCTACTGGTTTCCGCTCAAGCTGCTGAATCGATTTCAAAGAGAATCCAAAAACTGAAAAAGGAAGAATTGTTACCGCAACTTGTTGAGCTGCTAAATGGGTAAGTCTCAAATTTCTAAGCAAAATCTTTGGAGTTCTAAAATTTCAACCATCATAACCCCATTTCCTTCACCTATGCAGCCTCATGAGGTACTGGAAGATGATGTTGGAATCACATGAAACCCAATACCAAATCTTGAATCAAGTGAGATTCTTTAATTGTCCTGCTTATGGAAATTTTTGCAATAGCTCGCATCGCTTAGCCACAATTGGGCTGGAGGCAGAACTTCACAACTGGCGTACTTGCTTGGCCGCCATTGTTTCTGCAGAGAAGGCATATATTGAGGCTCTTCATGGATGGGTATCTAAGTTCACAGTCAGTGAAGTTGATGAAATCTACTCTTGGGGAATATACTCGACTCTGCCATGTAAGATAAATAAGCCACCAATACTCGAAATATTTCATGACTGGTTGGCTTGGCTGGAGAAAATGCCTGACAAGAAAGTAACCACCGCAATAAAAAGCTTTGGTAAAGAGGTACAGTCTCTCTGGGCTCAACAGGGGAAGGAGCTGAGACAGAAGAGGAAGGTTGATGAACTTGCAAAGGAAGTTGATAGAAGGAGTACTGCTTTTCAAAGGGAGGAATGCAGAATTCTTGGTCCAGGGAAATTTGTACAGGAGGCAGATGTAAATGTGCGTACTCAAATTCAATATTTGTTAAAACAAAAAGATCTTTTGGAGATATATCGGAAGAAGCTAGATGCAGGGAAAGCAAAGCACCAAGTTAGTATGCTAGAGACACAGCATATTACTCTGGAGGCTTTTCAGAGTGATTTCTGTTGTGTTTTAGAGTCGTTGGCTGAGTTTTCAAAGGCTTCTATCGAAGTGTATGCAAGCCTTGTGACATTCAGCGAAAATGCAAAGATGCGTTAGAAGAGAATGGTAGTTAGCGTTGCAACAAGAGATCCGCACTCAATGCTTCAGTTGAAGCCGCCAATTTTGCTAGACTTGGTCTTTTTTTTTGTAGTGTTGCATGTTTCAGTATGGTCAAAATTGAGATACCTCATGGGGTGCGGATCTTAAATAAAGTAACGGCTTAGGAGTTCCAAGTCGAGCGAAGGTCCCTCACAGCAAAAGTTTGATCATATGTATCTAATGAGATGATAATTTTTTTTGCAGCAATATTTTTTGGATTATTATGGGCAAGCAAATAGCTTGAGGCAGTGAATCAATTAAGCCCGTAACTTCTTACTTATAGAAGAGTTTCTATGTCACTACATCACAAAAGCATCAGCTATTGCATCGCAATATTGTGATGCCTTTTTTTACTATTAAACCAACCAAGGATTGCTAAGATACACAGACATGCAATTGTGATTCGAAATCAAGGTGTGAATGAGCTAACTTGAAGAATCATTCAAGTTTGTTAGTTGTTTGCAAAGTACCTCCAGTCCCCGTCAATTCATGTTACTTCTTTTGCAACGCATTTTATTGTTGTTTTAATTAGCACTCGGGAGTAATATATCAATTGTAATAATTAGACTAGTAGAATCAAATATGTGTAATCATAATTGGTATAGAATTAAAATCGTAATGTAGCAATCACTGTTAATTAAAAAGATAGTTCATAAAGGACGACAAAATTCAGTGAAGTTCCTACATTGGCATAGCCTGATCTTCTTGAATTTTCCTCAAAGTATTCACATCAGTGTCAATACTAATACTGTTATTTTCTAGGCATCTTAAATTTGTACTTTCAAAGGATAAGCTGTCCATATCAATGTGGAATTTTTGAAATCCAACACTATTTATACTTAACAAAACTTTGTGATCCATCATAATTTTCTATAGATTTGAGAGTTTCTGATTCTGCTAATTCTTGAGATATGTTAATTGATTTTCTAGAATTTCTTGAAGGCAATTTGCCAATCAAATTATCAGCTGCAGAGAGAGCTTCTTCTAGCTCTTGACACACTTTGAATCATTGTAGGACGATGCTTTGGTGCTTGAGCCCCACATCTTAGGGCAAGTTGGCCCATCTTCAGCATAGCCTTCATGTTGCATGGCTCACACAGTAAATGGGCATCTATGATTTCTTCGATATTACCCTTCTCTAAACTAGGCCTTGCCTGCATTAACCATATTTATTGTAATGGTATAAAAATGTAAGGGGAAAAATGAGATTGTGATTGAAGGGAAAATTGCATGACTTACCCAATCAATAATATGAGAAATATTTTGATTTTTGGTTGTATCAACGGCTGGTCTAGCAGAAATAAGTTGGAGGAGAATGACACCGAAACTATAAACATCGCTGAAAATTGTCAGATGAAAGGTTGAACAATAAGTGGGATCAAGATATTCTGGGGTTCCTTTGATCTGGCTACTGACGTGAGATTGATCACCAGTTGGTCCTGCTTTTATCAACCCAAAATTTGAAACTTTAGCCTCAAACCTTTCCCCTATTAAGATGTTGCTCGGTTTGATGTCACGATGAATTATACTCAGTGTCACCCCTTCATGCAAAAAGGCAATGCCTATAAAAATATCCAGAATTTCAATATCAGACAATTTTTTTGTTAATCAACGATGCATCTATGTTTTTGTTTGAGGAAAAAGAAAGAAAGAAAGAAAAAATAATTGTACCTTTCGCTGCTCCTATTGCTATGTTTAATCTTTGCCTCCAAGTTAAGCTCTTCCCTCTTTCTCCTATGATTCCAAAATGTCATATTCAAATTGTTACTGAAGCCTTTTCTCAGCAGGGATTCATGTTTTCATCCTTGTGTCTTTCCTTACACTTGAATTATCAATAGATTTTATATTCATCTAATTTATCAAGCTGATGTGTACTTACCCATCATGTACTCGAGCAGAGAACCAATAGGCACATACTCATAAACCAGCATTTGGACCCCATCTCCTGCTTAAGGAATGACACGACCGTAAAAGATCTAACTGAGAAATTTCATCATGTATCTTATACTATACCCCGTCATCACTTCTTAGTTCACAGGAAACATACCAGGTTCTTCACAATATCCCACCAAACTAACAAGATTCCTGTGCTTCACTTTGGAAATGAGCCTCACTTCTGCTATAAGGAAAAAGACAAACATGCATATCAGTACTGGTTCAACTTAGGTGGAGTCTGTGTCACTCTGTAGATATGTCATTATCAAATCTAACCATTTCTTAACTCTTCCTTGCCAAGGAATGATTCAACGTGAGCGCTCTTTTAATGGCTAGTTTTCCTTCTAATTCAAGAGTTCCTATATACACTGTTCCAAAGGCACCAGAACCCATCAAGCAATCAGGGCTAAAATTATTTGTAGCCTTCTCTTGTTCGTCCAATTCAAAACGCCTCAACGATATCTTATCATATTTCAAACTCTTTTTATCTTCTGCACCTGCAACATTCAATGCCATCAAGTGAAAAAAATCTAAAATTTAGATCTGAAAGTTTCTGTTTCCTAATTAATTTCGTTCATTGTACTTTTAGCTCACCTTTCGAACCCCTTTTGCATTTAAGTGGAATGGCCTTTCTCTTGAAGAGGCAGTACAGCATTACAACTGCCACTACTGTTAAAATGCCAGAAACAAACCCCATCAACATACCGACTGTACGAGGGTAACTGCTCTTGGAATTAAGTGGCTTTGCCAATTCCGGCGGTGGAGCAGCCAACAAACGGCGGTGCCAATCATCCATTGCTATCTTATTATGGTAATATTTTCCTCTACTAGCTTATATTTCTATACGATCAGTTATAAACTATACTTTTGAATTGTAAATCATTGTGTCCGAAAAGGCAAGTCTTGGTTAACTTGGTCTTGTATTCGGACGGCATATAAGCCAAACTGCCAAAGATCCCCATCACCTGGCGGTGAAAGCGCATAACTAATTATTAATGTATTCTCCATACAAACAAATTAAGTAGCTAAAGATCCAATGTAACCTAGTCATCATTTCCTTAGTTTATAAGATGAGGGATAGACTTGAGGTTGAGGGGTATTTTATTACTACTGAAAGACTAGATTATTGTTTTTTAGCAAACAACAAGATTATTGCTTTTACTGTCTACAAAACATGAATAAACCTGCCGGAAGAGGATATCTTCTATTCCAGGCCTTCTAGATAAGCATGGCCCAAGGTTTGAAATTTAATAAGCAATTGACCCAGTAAGCTTTTCACCCTTCCTCAATAAGTGCATCACGCTTTAAAATGGCAATCTCGTCGTGATCTTTAGCGTCTGTTCTGGCCTAAAGCTTGACAGAAACATGCCACTGACTTTTTCATTCATTATTTATTTTAATGTTTTATAGGATTAATTAATAAGCAGTTCAAGAAAATCGTGGGAAGACAAAATTCGGAGGAATTTAAGACAGTGCCTTTTCAACTGTGAGCATATGGGAGTCTCGACCTTTGGTACATGCATTTATTTCTCTATGCATCCTGTCGATTTCTAGCATGCAATATTAATATAACCTTTGGTCATGAGTGAGGAAATTTCTTATATTATGACTATTACTCTATTAGCATTTACAACCCCTTACCAAATAATGGGGTAAATATCATTCTGATTCAAAAGGCCCTGATCAATGGAGCATCGGTCAATTTTGATGGAGCTAAATAGCACATGCAGGCTCCACTATTACGCTATCAGCATTTACAACCCCTTACCAAATAACATGTTCGTTTGATTTAGTAATTTTCAGCAAAGAGAGAAATTAATTAGAGGCTACTCCGATCATGTTGAAGCCATTAAGCTCATAATTAGAGGCTATAATGATTATCACCCATTCCATGATACTATATCTTATGCTTTTAGTATTTTGAATAGGAATTGTTCTGTGTCCATTTGTTTTGTTTGTACAAACGTTATTAGTGCTGTTCACAATTTAGCTAGGAAGGCTCACTTTGAGGAAAGTTGCTTTTGCATCTTTGATCATTCACCAACTTAACTTGTTGAAGGGGGTGTATGTTGAATGATTTTGGTTCTCTTGTAGTCTGCTGTTAGTTTCTTGTTTGCTTAGATTATGAATGGTATTCAGTTTTACTCAAAATAATAATAATAATAACAACAATAAAAATTAGAGGCTTCTCGAAAAGCCAAAGGGCCAAAGTTTTTTAGCTTTGAAGTTTTCAATCTGATTTATTAATTCAACCCTCGGTCTTGGACTTGTTCCTTCACATGTACGCTACCTGCTCCAGTGACCCGAAAAATAAAAAAATAAAAACCGTGAAAGGAGAATTAACAGGACAGCCAAGGACCTCCATGAACTTCTATTTGAACTTGGATAGGTTCTCATTAAATACTCATGAGTCATAAAATTTAAACCACAAGTAACTCCTGAATTTGGCTTCAGTACACATGTGAAGACATGAACATAACCACTTTTTGCAAAAAGTAAGCGCCCATTAAAAACCTAAGAATAAAACCTTCACAGGGAAGATCAGAACGTTTGTATGAAATCCATGAACTTATGTTGTACAGTTCAAAAAGAACAAAATATCAATATAAAGTGTAATTTTCTGAGTCCATGGCCTTGCGCAAAGTAAGGTCATGTTCTGTATGCTGGATTGACGAAGTGGGACTGGCACTAAGATTGGCTAATACTAATTTTTCATGTTTGGTATGAGGCAATAGGAGATTTAATCCCAATCCCATCTACATGGGATTACCCAGTACCATCACACCCGGCATTGGGAAATCAGTCCCGGAACTACATAATTTCAGACCAAATTGCCCTCTTGTCCATCAGCTATCCTTGCGTCCGTTCTCATCGCCATCCGAGTGAAGCATGAATAGCGTCTGCTCTCCACTCCATGTCTGTTCTCATCGCTGTCCGAGTAAAGCGTGAATAGCATCTGCTCTCCACTTCATGTCCGTTCTCATCGCCGACATCGTGAAAGATCAGATTTGGTGAGCTCGTTTGTGTCGGCATCCCTGGATTTGTTCAGATCTGGTTATGCAAGTTCAGATCTGGTGAGCTTGACCACAACCTCTCTCCCTCCTTGGTCCCGATTTGCTCAACGGCGACCCTCTACCTCCTTGGTCTAGATCTAGCGAGCTCGACAGCAGCGAAGGTAGTGGCTGAGGAGGATGAATAGCTATGTAACTTGGGTCCATCAAAATGATTCCCGCTTTTGAGAAGAATGATGAAGAAGACGAATCTGGTTTCGTCAAAAGCATCCCCACTTTCAGCTAGAATAATGACGATGCTGATGAACCTGGATGGTGGGCACGAGAGGAGAGGACGAA